TTCCTCCCACAGTCCAATGACATGCTTGTTACATCGACCGGCGGCTTGAAATTGTACATAGGTGAAGGCTGTCAGCCCTGTGATTAAACGGTCACCTGTCCTGGGCGAGCCCTGCCTCTCACAGCTGGCTTCAGCTCCAGCCTCCTGACCATTAAGCAGTTCAGGTGATGGATGGACGGGCGGAAAGAAAAAGAAAAATCTGTGAGAGCATGAAGCATTATTAATAGAAATGAGAGAATGAATTCGAACACACAGTTCCCCTTTGTTCTTATCCCTGCAGTCAAACACTAATAAAAGTTTTTACAGGGCCAACCTCACAACAGTGGGCCTATAAAGAGTATTAATAGTATAATCACAGTAAGTCGTAGTCATTGTTACATTTTATAGCATGCTTTTGTTTGTTTTGGCCTTGCTGCTTCCTGTAATCATTGTTTAAATCCATTTTTATTTTCCCTCGGCACAGTGTCGGGAACTAAATGTTGAGGCCGGTGATGCAGAAAAGCAGCCTGAGGAAGTGCGTCATAGTACAAAAGTTTATCCATGTATCACAGCCTTACAGCAGGGAGAGGAAATATTCGGCTAAGAGTGATGCTGCCATGTGGAAGGCTTTTATTAGATTGCTCCAAAAGCTAAAAAGCATACAGTGAAACAATTTGTTCTGACTTGCAGACTGTAATTTCTGCCATGTCGCTGTCATGGATAGCTGAACATTGTGCAACCGCTGTTAGTGGAGTGATATCCTGAGCTGTAGATGTAGTTTTAGGATGTTTTTTTGTACTTTAAAGCAAAAATCTTTCAAAGGGGGGTATTCTCAGTAACAGTTTTACCTTTGACCTCTCTCTTCATGCCCTCATTAATCCAAGTTTCTGCCTTTCAAGAGCCGAAACAAAAAGTGGTATGCCACTGTTGAATTTTTATCTCTCTTTAAGGAGGAAGCAAATGGGTGCAGCGTGTTTTTTTTTGTTATCATGCGTGGTGTTAAACTGTGTAATGGGACTCTTGCTTTCTTTGGCTCTCTCTCTCTCATTATCTCTGTAAACGGGCTCTCTCTGTGATAATTAAATGCAGTTTTGCGGCAGAAAAATGCAAATGAATGGGACAAACGGAGCAACAAGTTTGGGTTGTTCCCCACAGACATGCTGAGCCAGGACGAGATTCAGAAGAAACAAAGGAAACAGCCTCTTTTGTGATAACAGGAGCTGAGCGTTTTGTGTTTCTACCGTCTGCTCTGTTTCTGCAGAAGAAGAGTCTTCCATGGCGCAGGCGTTCAACATCCCTGCGTTAAGAAAATTAATGTTGTTTTACCATCACGCTGGGTCTGACTGTGAATGTAGGATGCTTCAAATCACACATTTGGATATCAAATAAGACTTTGATGAACAAGTACTTCCCTCCTCTTGAGCTTAAACTTTCTGATCATACTTCTCATGCTGTGCAGGACAAAAACAGCACAGAATAGTGTTTTATATTTCCATGATAATCAAGGTGAAAACAATATAAGAAAAGACTTTTATGAGCTTGAAATTATGGCAACTCATCACAGTAAATCTCTGCTGATGCACACAGATCCCCAGGGGTCCCGCAGTCTTATAACCTTCACTTTAAGATAATAGCACATGAAGCAAAACAGGGACAGCTTTGAGGTGACTCACAGCAAATGAACTCATCAGACGAAACCCAAACAAACACAACATGACACTGTTTTACATCACTTTGGTTTAAAAGTCTGGAAAGTAAGGCAAAGTTTTACTTTAAGTTGACATTTCAGGAGTCGTGTCTTCAGTGATGATATTAATTTTTTAGCTTTGGTGTATTAAGTATTAGGGGTGGGAGAAAAAATCGATACAGCATAGTATTACGATATTTTGTCTGACTAACTAAAGTCTAAAGGTACAAAAACAGTCAAATTTAAGCTTAGTTTCTTAGATGTGACGTCACAGAGTCTGGGTAAACAACGTCAAACTAGTACACCAAGCGTGACTACCAATAGCAGAGCTAGTACTGTTAGCCTTCAGTCCTCCAGTCAGGTTCACCTCTACTAGCCAGTTTACCCAGAATCATCCTACATACAACTTCATCTCCATTTTCTAGATCTAACAAGACCATGCTTTGAGATTCTGTCTGTCATCAGCAAAGACTGTATATAGAATGGACGCCGTCTGCCTCCACGCTGAGTGAAACCACAGCGAGAACAGCACCCTCTGGTGACGGGCTGCAGTATGGGTCATAAGCCCCGCCTCCTCCAGCAAAGCTTGTGGAGCTGAGAACAAACTTTAAAAATTAATTCACAGCAACTCTCAGCGACTCTCCAGCCGTATACGAACAATGCTACTGCGCAAGTGGTGAAGTGCGTACAACGCCACTCCATGAGGAAAATCGTGGAAAGCATCCCCTGGTGGTGGCTCGCGGAAATACCGAGAGCTTTTTGGCTTCACATTCGCATACTGGTAGAAAGCGGAACAAAGTTGTTCATAGTATATAGAGTCTGTGGTCATCAGTGCTTATAGAGTATTATAGTGTCACGCCGTTGAACCCCTAGATAGAGGGAGGTGGCTGTGCTAAGGCTTGGGCACAGCTAAGGCTGTTGCAATATATCAGTAATGATGGTGAAGTATTTAATATTGATGCTGTGCTATAAGGTAATGTTTTCCCTAATGAAGTTTCAGTCACAAAGTGATGTGGATAAGTCCTAAATTTCAACATCGTCAGAAATGGATGGTGACATGTTAGTTCATTGGGTTCATTCATGACAATTATGGGCTTAAAATATCTTTTAAAACATCTAATGTTGTGGCAGCTACACAGGATATGATTGACATTTATTTTTGATAAACTGGTGAGTAATTCTGGTGCCAAATAGCGAGGGTGATGACATTTAATCCTGATTTACACTTCCAACCAAATCCACACCACAGCTGACCTTGTAGGTTGGCTTGGCTGATCGTGTGAGATGTTTTTATTGATGATCGATAAACAGTACCGAGAAACACAGACTGGATTTTAATCTGATGGTTTATTCATGGGGGATAATAGACCAGAGAAGCCATGCGATGAAAACTACATGAGAACGGTACAAGGGTGGCCATGGTCTGAGGATGATGCATGGCAAATATTGAAATATTGGAGGTCAACATGCTTTTTTGAACTCAGTTGAAAGGTAAACACCCAGATCTTCTCTCTTTACATGGAAATGGACGGATCTAGGATAGGCTGTATGGGAGGAACCTTGAACCCAAGAATATCAGCCTGTTTGTGTGGTCAGTACACGTGCTGCAACAGCTTCTAGATGTAGTCACCGGTCAAGGACATTTTCATACATGTTTACTGAACTGCAGAACTGGAATGATGCATAAGGCATACAAAACATGAGACTGTTGCAGAGAAGCCCGATGCACATCTCCCCAGAGGTGCAACAATGCAGTAAAACAATGCAAACTGCAAAGCCCCTGATTGGTCTGCAGGATGGCATCAACTTATCCTGCATGTACATTTTTTTCACAATGGGATTCCTCTTGTTTGCCTGCACTGATTCACAAGCTTTGGTCACTCCTGTTTGTGAATTTACAATGATGAACTGTTGCTCAACATGTTTCCTCTCCAGCTCTAACATACTTAGCTCAGATTCGGATGCCATGGTTTCCTTTGCACAAACAAGCCAAGAATGCAGCAGTACCAGATACCATTGATTTGAAAAGCATAGAAACTGCACTGCTCACCTGTGCTATGAAGGACTCCTGCAGTGTGTCACAAAGTGTAAAACTGACAAGTATGTAATGCTCACAAAGGTGCAGCTGCAGCAAAGAGTCAACGTAGAAGGCTCCAACATGCATGAGTGAAAATATTGATAAAGGTTTCACAATATTAGTCCCCAAAATGTCTATTTTGCATCCACAATCCGCATGTAATTAGATTTTTCTAACAGATGAGAGTTAAAGCTCGGTCTCAGGTCCTCTATGATCCAAACAGGTGACATGCACACCCATGTACAGAGGCTAAATCCTCTCTGCACCACTCTCCTCCCAGTCTCTGCTCCCCAAATTTTCCGCCCTTCTCCGACTGTCCGATCCAATAAAGTAAATTTGTCAATGAGATGTTTGATGTGACAGTTTTCCGCTTGATAGAAAATATGTGCGGGGCTCTGAACAAAATTCAGCATGTTTTTAAATTGGAGAGCTGAAGAAAAATCCCATCACTGCCATCACAGCTCCTACTCATGCCAAAAGTAGCACAGAGAAAGAGAGAGAGAGAGAGAGAGAGGGAGGAGAAAAGTGAGATCATTATACGCTCACAACTATCCAAACATAGTGACACCTGGTTATCCAAGTCGGTGCAAACCTGATTACAGCATCCATGTTTGTGATTGTCTGTGTGCAGGTGTGTCTTTGATTCGTTTGACTCTTCACCTGCTGCTTTTGAACCAGCCGTGCTACCTCTGCTGCCAGAACTCTGATTTGGCTTCACCACGCGAGCGCTAGTTATGGAAAACAAGAGCACAACAAAAACAAGTTATCCAGAAAATAACTAAAACATAATAACCTGCATTAAGGCTGGACCATTTGGCATTTACACTTCCTGTTGCTGGGGCTGAGTACACTGCTGTGACTGCGGCTGCACGATGAAACACATCTTCCCAATATGAGCAGATATGATAGGCTTAATTGGATTTTATTGTTATAAATTCAAAAATATATTTTACATAAACCAGCAGCACTACTCCTTAGAGGTACATAGTATTTCAAACTTTCATTATCTCAGTCTAGGACACCTATGGAGTTGCTTTGCATAACCTGCAGCTTAAAAATCTCCTTATTTATCTTATTCTGGCGTCTATGAAAATTCTCATTCCAACTGTATTCAGCTTGTGCTTGGAGTACTTTGTTTTGGCTCATTTTCTACCGATATGAAGTTAGACACAGCTTGTTGTTTGCAGTTATTGTCGATCACAGGTTGCAAAACAAGCTGGAAATCTTCATCTTGTCTTCTTTTATCCAGAGGGTGAATGATATTTGCTTTGGTTGTACCTTATGGTTGTCTTTTGTGGCACCACCAGATGATGCTTTGATTTTTACTGTAAATGAAATGCAGCCCCATGGCTCAGGAGAAAAAGCACGACATCCATTAATCCAAATATCACTTTTTGAAGTTCAGCTCCTTCACCGCACGTTCATTTGTCTGTTGGCAGGATACTGAACCATAAATTGACCCTGAAAGCTTGGCTATCATGGTTTGAGTGTGTTCGAACGAGATTAGATCCAGCTGGGCAGGTTGGCACTTGTAAAGCAGTGTCTGGCATCAGGGTCTGAGTGTGTGTGTGTGTGTGTGTGTGTGTTTGTGTGTGTGTAAAATAGTGGATTTGACATGTAGCAGGGAGTGCTTTGAGTGGTCTAAAATTGTCATGGAAATACAGGTTTAGAGAGCTTACTGAATTTGGTATCAGACATTTTTAGTTGGGCAGCAACTTAAATTTTAGATCCTCAGTCATAAAGCAGCATATGTGTGTTTTCCTGACTGTGCCTTACTAAGGTGGTGAATGCATTAGATGTTACAGCTGCTTTACATCAGTATGTTTCCTCCGTTTGTCAGCTTGTTGGCGTGATGACATTGGATTTTCTACTCTCTGACAGCTCATTCCCTTTGTCTTTATAGAAACCTGCAGTAAAGAGACAAGGGTATGAATGCCAGATAGATGTATGGATGTTCTCCACTCCTATATTGATCTCTTTTCACAGATTCAACATTGAAAATGTAGAACCTGTACACAGAGGACTGGGTTTTCTGCTCAGAAAGTGTTCTGGTGTCTTTAAAGATTTACACTTACTTATAATCCGAACATATTTTGTGCCTGTCTCCAAAAGTGGTCAATCAGATCTTATAGATATGATTATTTCGTCATCTCAGTTTGCATGAACCTTGCATCAGCATTGTATCTCAGTGGTGTTATTTTATAGCCTGGAGCTGTGGGTTCTGTCAGTGATTTATTTTTGGGCTTTTGAAATCACCTGTTCAGGAGCAAAAGCCTCTCACATGTTTGTAATCATGTTCAGGCATGATAGAGCGTTACTTAAGCCTGACTTGCTATATCTGCACAGACTGTACGCTGCAGCATAGAAAACATATGCCCTACATTTGCACAGCCTCACATATGCACTTGTGTCGGAACAATGCAGTCTGCAGGTGCTGTAATTGGTCCACTGAGGATCACCTGTATTTATGACATCCCAGGTATCGCCATACATCAGCAATATTTAACACCTCTGCAGATTAGTGATGGGAATTACAGCTGTTTTTCGTGAGCCGGATCATTCGGCTCAGCTTACCAAGAGGAGCTGGTTCTTTTAGCTCCCAAACGGCTCTTCATTTTACCACTTATACATTTTCTAATTCAGACAAATTTAGCATTATTTGGCTTATGATATGTACGTTTGTGTACTCATACCTCTTAAATGATTCAATACATCCTGTTTTACCGAAGTATTCACAGGTAAAAATAACATTTTCTAATATCAGTAAATTGCTGTAGCCAATTGCTTTCATTGCATTTACAGACCCTTGTAACTCTCTGAAACCACTCAATGAATGCACTGACTTGCTTGTAGAACCACTCTGTTACACAAAACAGATAGAAATCCCGTCATTCTGCCTTATAGGTTCTTTCTACAGTCTCTACAGGGGGGAAACGGCTCACAGACGGGAGCTCTTTGAACCGGATCGTTCACGACTGACACATCACTACCCCAATATCTTTTATTCTTCACTCTGAGTCGGGGTGTGATCAGCTGCCTCTCTGTATTCATCAGCTACAGCAAGATTCAGTTGCTATGGTTACCTATACACAAACAAGCAGAGGATGAACACAAGCAGAAACTCCCAGTAAGACTAGCATAGAAATCACACCACTGTCCAGTGTTTAGGAGGTGTATTGCTGAGTCACAAGGACACTTTGAGACACAGGTATGTAGTTTTCGCCTTTAGGTTTGCTATAACAGTTTACCATCAATGCAGGAGCAATACAGCAGAGAGTGGGGTTAAACTTTCCTGCTTTAACAACCCATCTGTTGTCAGGAAGCACAGGGGAGACTTATTTATCTGCTCCGGGCCTGAAGTCAGAGCTAAGCCTCACTCACTTGACTTGTCAGCAGCAGGCAGTAAGCAGCGCACAGGAGTCCAGCTTGAGTCTCGAGGAGTTTCAGGCTGTATTATGTTTGCACAATCTTCACTGTTCATTTAAACACGTCTGATAATATCTAGCATTAACTCCAGCTCGGCTCTCATGCTGAAGCGGCCCATCAGCTTCCTCCACACTCTGCAAAGTTTGTTGTGATTTGGTGAATAAGAATTTTTGATTGATTAAAATATAACTCCAGCTTTACTTACCATGTATACTAATCAGGTCCTATGTTTCATTTGGAAATGTCATTCTCCTGTAGGGCTGGGTGATATGACCTCAAATCAATATCACGATATATTGAGCAGTTCACCATGATAATGATAAATGGACGATAACTACTCCACAAACTGCTCACCCCCTCCCACATTAACTTCATCTACTTCAGCCGCTACAACTTTTGAACCGTCCTCCATCTCCTCACCTGTTTTTCCTTCTTTGTTAAGGACTGGATGGGGTGGAGTCTCGTCTCTGATGTAGGACAGCGTCTTAAAGGGACATGAGAACATAGCCTACCTACATGGATCCAAAACCAACTTTAATTTCTTATTTTTTTGACACCGAATGTACCGATGGTCAAAATGATGTTGGTTATTGTCGTAAATTTCTGTGTCGGTAAATTTTCAGTTTATCAGCCTATTCTCTTGTATGTTTATATTCTGGTTTTATTTGCATATGTGCATCTAAGGTTAACTTTTATCATTTCCTAATATTTGCTTGATTCACTTACATAGATTTTTATTCAAATATGTTCTGTCACTTTAACTCTGCCTTGACATTTCAAGCTGTTGAGCCTTGGCAATGTACAGGAATGTACAGACATACAGCCAAGGTAGAAAACTGTTTCTGTGCTGTTGAGAACCTTTCATAATAGCATCATCTTGCTTTGTGTCAATAGGAGGTACTTTTTATTCTGAACTGATAATAGATAATGTCGTAATGAAAAAAAAAAATCTGTTTGTTTGTAAAGAAACAACACAGGTGAGCCACTCTTACAACAAAGGAGGAAGAGGACTGTAACTGTGTTTTCAGTCGGCATATAAGGGATGAAACTTATCCTAGAGGTCACACTTTGAAACAACAGCCCTCCAGATTTGATGTTTGCAAGTACAATATATGAGTGTTTATGCTGCAGCCTGCATGGATCTGGAAAAAACACACACTAAAAATGCACACACTTATAAAAGCACCCTGCTATTTCTATTCCCTGCATGGACGCTCGCAGATACACAAAATGAACATGCACCTGATTCTATTACCTACAGCATCTCTTTGTTACGTTTGATCTCTTCTTGGAGTCACACTTCAATATTTCCACACAGGTGTATAAAATTGCAAAGACCTTTCTGACTAGTCACCAGATAATTTCCTCAAGTCTGTAGCAGACAGAAACTGAAGGACTTTGCAGTAATAACTGATGAACGTGCGGCCTTCTGAAAGCTACCTCTGAGTTTAATATATTCCCAAGAAAAACTCCAGAATCCCAAGTGAGGCGAGTGTGGTGGGTCGCGGGCAGGCAGGCGTTGAGAAATGCTGCAAGTATTGGCTGCCTCTATATTATTTTGGGAAATATAAGCGTGCTTGCTCTATTGCATTTGAATTGCCTCCAACTCACCTGTGCATAGCATTCTCCTGGAGGGAATAACTGTTTATACTCACACCATGTGTGGTGTTTTCCCCCCCTCACTGTAATACAATAAATTTATATTGAGACAATACAGAGAAGGCCTTTTCTCTTTCTAGTCTAGGAGCTTTTATTTTGACTGAGATGACAGTGAAGGAGGAGATTAAAACCTTGTTACGGTGTCAAACATCAGTGAGGCTTCAGACAGCTTTGTGGCTGCAAATGTAAATCAAACATCCCTGCAGATTTGAACTCTCACAGTTCGCCGTCTTTATGGCACAATAGGTTGTGGCTTTTTTCTGTCTTCCTGTGCCAGTACAAGTGCTTCACCTCAGGGTAGTAAAAAAACAATTTCGAGTCACTGTAAGCACAATATTAAGGCCTTCACCTGGAGCCGACGGGGTGTGTGGTGAAACACGCAGCCCATTATGCCTACAAACTGAAATACACTTTTTTAACAAGAGGCTTGAGTTTAGTGTGTATCTGTTTGACTGTCTGCAATTTCAGTAAAGAGTATATACTGTATATTCATGGATACAGACAGGAACTGCAGAGAAGAACACTCATTAATACCAGTTTTTGCTCAAGGTGGACCTTCAGGGACCGGCCAGTCTACAACATTTCTTAAGAATGCTCTCTGAAATAAATGTTTTTAATCAAGTGGTGACTATTAAAACACTTAATGGACATTTTTATCAATTTTATTTCCTGTAACTCTTCTAGAACGGCAATTCCAGTGTCGCTCCAAGAGATAGATGCACAAAACTTAAGAAAAAGACATGAAGATAGACGGATGACAGAGAAATGAAAATATTTGGCTACTAATAGTGCAAGATGAGAAACAGGAGGTGTTTTCAGGAGACTGGGCTAATGCTAGGTGCTATGTGATACTTAAATACCGATAAAGTTGTGTGCTGGTGTTTGGTTAATTTGACCAAAGTCATGTGTGATAAGAAAATCAGTGATGTCAACCTGTGAGGATGACCCGAGGCTGGTGGTCCTAACTCTGCTGGTGTTTGCCAAACAGAGGGGACCAATTTGGCAATGTTTGTTCCTATAAGGCTGTCAAAACTGATGCATTAATCACAATGTGATTAAGGTCCAAACTTTATATGTCCCTCTTGGCACGCCGTAGTCAAGCCCATGCTTGCGCTGTAGCTGCCGTTGTGGTAAAAAAAAACACACACAATTGCACTTTTGACAAACACATTTCACTTACAGAAAACTTCCAGACAGCTGACACCTCAAAAGTATCAGCATGTATTTAATATCAAAACATCACCAGAGCTAACCATACAATGAAAACCACATCACAGTCCACATGACACTGTTTCGGATTGTGAAAATCACATAACCCAGATCTTCCTAAGGAAAATATGTCAATACCAGTCATACCAAACCAGCTAAAATGGAACTTCTGAAAAGTGCAAATACATTAACTCGGATCATCAAGCCCTCAAAATGATCTTGGATCAACTGTACACCATTTTAACACTGACTGGACATTTTGTACATATACACTCCTGCATATTTATTGATACAGTATAATATTAAATATAGTGTAATCATAACAAAAACAAATAAAAAATAACAACAATAAATTAATGTCTGAGTCGTTGTTTTAAACCACACCAGTGCTGCAGTGCTGCATTTATTTGAACTACAACATGTAATTTTCTTTCTAGCCAGGACCAGAAGGAGAGTACAAACAGATGCTTTAGGCTTGGGTTAGTTATATTCTTACCTAAGTGTTGGATAGCTGGTATTCCCCAGTTGAGACACTTCTTAAAAAAGGGTGTTGATGGAAATCACTGAACGTGCAGCATATTGACACCAGCGTTTGAGTGATATCTCACTAAATTATTCATCACAGCACCTCTCCAACTGTTTTTACTGTATTTACACCAGAGAGGACCTGTTTTATTTGGAACAGGATTTTTATCACAAACAGGCTTTTAGTCCTAATTTCTGTTGAATGAAAATTCAAAAGCTCAAAAGCAAACCTCCATGTTTACCCGATGTCCCTTTTAGTGTGGCGTAATGTTCGTTTATAAAGCGATGTTACATCAACAGAGCCGGTTTAACTCCTCAGTCTGCTGACAGAGGTAGACTCTATGTAATGGACAGAAGATTTTTCACGGAAAACAAATGCAGTTCTTCCAACACACGGTCCAAAAAGATGGACGACATGACAGCTCCTTAAAGTGAAGGCAACACATGGCGACTACCCTCTGGTGACTATTTACAGTACAGGTCATGAGCAATGCCTCCTCGATGTTAATATATGGGATATGGGCCAAAATCGTGTAATATAATCCAGCTGATTGGTGCCAGATGGTCCATTTTTCCAAGAAGTGTAGATCCAGTCTCTTATTTGGTGCTAAAATGGCAAAGATACACAGTGTTCTGCATGAAATGAAAGCTTCATTTGCTTCAAGCAGATTTTTCCTGTATATTTGTGTAGAGACTAAAAAGTATTCTACCTACATTATCAAAGTTAGCTCATATGTGATATATTTGCTAACTTTACAAAGTTGCATTTTTCTCCCATGTTTGGTTGGCGTACTTCAAAAAACATACTCAAACTCATGTGGCTTTTAACCTTTTTATTTTACAGTAAAATACTGTCAGTCATCTAGTTAAGGAAATGCCAAAGCCTCAGGGATAAGATAGCTCTGTAGTGAAAAAACAATCTCAGAGTATCTCAAAATTTAATTTAAATCAGTGTTTTTGGACCATGAGCTTAGTTTAAAATGCAACAAAACAAATTTTGAATACATACGACTGTAGTTTGCTTTCATCTGTGTGAAATGGCTTTTGAGCTAGCTTACTGTATTTGCTCAACAATGATGATGCCATGGTTAAACCAAACACATTCGTACCTTCAGAGCGACAAGTTGACCTCACAAGTGTGTCTTTAGACCGTGAAGGAGAACCTGGAGAAAACCTACTAATGGGGAACAGGAAGCAAACACCTAACAGAAAGGCAACAGCTCCCTGTAGCTCAAGTATAGAGATGCAGGGAAAAAGAAAGAAATTTCAACAAGGTGAAATTATTCGCTGAGCACCACTCCTCTGTGACACTTGTCGGAGCTCATACCTGCTCATAGAAGTGTTAATATCCCACATTTAACAGACCTTCAGCTGCAGTGGGGACTTGGGTTTAGAGTGGAAAATATCCAATGTGTAAAAGTCAGTGCTCAAGTTGTTGGATGACACAGAGGAGTGGAGGTTCATCCAAAGAGGGGAGGCTTTGTTTTTTGCTGTGAGGGATGAATTTGGCCTTTCAGATTCATGTCCAAAACAGAACAAAGTCAGTAATTTGATACTGTAAAATACATGTAGGCATGAAAAACTGAAGATGTTTTTTCTATGACTTGAATCAATTTAGGTGGGGTAGGCAGGACCTGAGGTAGAGCCAGTTTTTGGGAGAAATCTTGAATGTAAACTCTACCCCTCCCAACCAGTTTTCCCCTCAGCTCCTCCTCTCCCCTCCCTCTCTGCTCCAGCAAGCCCCGCCCACAAACAGACACTCCTGCTCGCTCGTATCGTTCCAATTAAATTCAGATATAAAATACTTCAGATAATTACAAATGGAGCCCAATCAACGTGAAAGTAAGAAGCATTGGTGCTACTGTAGATGCCAACAGACTACCAGCAAACACAATGTTTGCAGGACTTCTACAACTAGGATAAAGTGACATAGTCCAGGACCCGAGGTCAACAGTTTAGCGACGCTACAACACGCAGCAGGTCCCGTTTGACAAGGAACACTTCTGTTACAGACGCTTGGCTTACTTTGTTAGAGCGGTTTACCTGTCCAGCAGAAAGGTTACAGGGTTAGTAAGATCCCGAATCCCCCATCGTTTATCCCTAACTGATGTTGACCCGGCTTTTTAGCTCTTGTCCGGTCTACCTCCTTTTTAAGCGCCCGCCAGAGTCTCTGCTATTTACTTCGTTTTCTTGCTTGTGTTGGCAGTCATGGCCAAAGGAGGATTCTGACAATTTTCCGTTTTTTCTGGTTGGTTTCTACTGTCTGATATTGTAGCACGCTAGCTTTGTTTGGGCTCCTGAACAACATTGGGGAGCAGCGTCTGCCTCACAACCAATCAGGTTGGGGGAGGCGGGGAATGGCTTTGTTTACAGTCAGAGAGAGCGGGCCGCTCAAAAAATTGTAAATATTGACTACACAGACATAAGAGAACACAGCGATATTGTTATATTACCAAATGTCATCAATGACTAATAGCTATTGACTGATATTCAAAGCATTTTTTGATATACACCACAAAAAAAAATGCTTCTTAAACGGAATCCTGCCTACCCCACCTTTAATACCCTTTTATCACAACACATTACCAGAAATGCAAATAGATAAGTGAAGTTATCTGTTACATGCGTTGTATGAAGATCAGTGTTGAAAACAGTCCCTGATATCAGACATGCAGAGTCCTCTGACTCTCATCTTTAAGATACAAGGACTTATTTTGGTGCACAGCTGGTGTTTTCCGCCTCTGATCCTCATCTAGTCTCTGGTTCATGATGTCAGGCACTACTGCCACTTTTCTCTGCAGGGCTGCTCTGTCGTTCCTTTTTTCCTTTTTATTTTCTCACAGTTGGATCAGATAACTTCAGGTGTTAAATGGTTTTAATTTAATTGCCTATTCATGGACTAATGCACATTGTTTATATAGTAATATTAGTAATCTGAAGTCAGCTGTTGCCTAGCAATGGCAGCTGTAAGCCCGAGATAACAGACAAGCGCTGGAGGAACTGACAAGGGGAGGAATTTTGAGAAAGTAATGACTTGAAAAATGTTTGTTTTGAAAAGTGGAGATGCTCTCATTATTTTGAATTACCTTCACAGCAGGACTAAAATAAACCAAACTGTCCTCTGCTGTCAGGCCAACGAGAAGACTGCAGGTTAATAAGCCACTCAGAAACTTCTTCAGTGTCTCTCTTAGTGCTTAACGTCATGATAATGAAATCAGGCTCAGTCCAGGTCAGTTTTATTGGTCTTATGAGGCCTAACGCTGGGTTAGAGGCAATATTCAACATACTGGATGAGATAACTGATCATTTCTGAATTAAATCCAGTCAAAGGGGTTGAAGTAAGAAGAAATAAAATAATAAAGTATGATATTTCAAAGCAAGTTTAAGAGTAAGAGGATTGTATTTGGGAAAAGTATAACATAGCCAGTCTTCATACTGTAGCAGCTGACGGACAGCGAGCAGATATGGGTTGTGTGTCGTAAAGAGTTAATGAGCTGAGGTAAAACTGTCCCAGAGTCAGTCTGTAAGTGAAGCCGGGCTCCTGTATCTCATGGAGAGACAGTAAAGACAACATAAAGCTGAGTTTCTAAATGTTGATAAAAGGAGACGAAGGCTGCTGAGTGAGGGACAAATGAACAAAACAGATGAAGTAATCAGACGCTATCTGAGGATGAGGAACAAAAGGTCAAATTACAGAATAAAAAACAGTAATGGGTTGTTATTTTTAGGTCTCCTGATCAAGAGTTAAAAATAAGCTGAATAATTTAGCGTCTTTTATGCAGGTTTAATCAGTAATTAGTAAAACAAATCCTATGTCTTTGATTTCTGAGTTAGTGTTATGTAATCAGAATTTCAAATGAATGTCAAAAATGTGATTATTCTGCATATGAAGAGTTTAATGTCCAAATTAACAGTAAAAAACAGTTTGTCCTACTGTGTTTATGCACAATCTTGGCTGTTTTACTTACCTTACTATCACTGATTTATTTTCGACGATGTTGATGATATGAAAACCCTGTAACTCTGTCAGACATGTTGTTGTTGTTGTTGTTGTTGTTGTTGTTGTGTGTCGGTCTTCTCCAGGGGTTGCCCCTTGTCACTGATTCGGTTTGCGCTTGATTAAGATGCGTCCCAGATGCCTCCCTTTGGAAGGGCTCCAGGCACATCCAACTGAAAGGGAACCTCAGGGTAGGCCCAGGGCTCACTGGAGGGATTACCTATCCCAGGAATGCCTTCGGATGAGGGAGAAGGAGCTGAGAAGTGCTGCTGGAGAGAGAGAGAGAGATATGGGTGGACTTGCTTGGACTGCTGCCCCAGAACCCAATCCCAGATAGAAAATGAATAAATGGATGGATGGATGGATGGATGGAATCCTTCCTCCAGACTACCATAAGTCTCTGAAAACTCTGTAACCTCCCCTGCTGGTACCAGCTTTAACTTTTATGCCATGGCTCGGCTCTGGTCAACGTCAGGCTAGGCATCCATAGTGTTCAAGTAAATCATTGGTAACACACACAAAGATCAAGATTATCTGCAAACTCTGAATGTGGTTTAGTTGTCAGCATCTCTATAAAGTTTCCTTAGCGAACTTTGTCAGACTGAAGTTGAAGTCAGAGAACAAGACAGCAGTAATTAAAGGCATGGTTGACGATCTAAGAAGCAGTTGAAAAAAACTGCGTCCCACCCCCCCACACACACACACAAACCTTTCCCCTCTGTGCTCCACGATAACTCCCCCCTGAAACCTGAATCGCCCTCCCCACGACACACCCCCTCTGGCAGAGCAGGAAGCCGTCCAGCAGAAGATGCTACGCTAGCTTCAAATAGGACTCACCATGTTGGATTGCTAGTGACTAGCGGCAGTAAACGCCAGCTCTGCTAGCGAGCACCGTCTGCAGCTGCCTGGACAGCTGTTGACATTGCAGAGGCTAATAAGAGTTATAAGAGTTATTTATGTAACATGTGCCACGATAAAAGGTGATAAAAATTACCTGTTCAACAAAAACTGTCTCAGCGTCTGTTTTCAGGCCCAAATCCTGGCGGAGCTTCCGACCACTCGAAGGATGACCCGATGTTTATTCGAGTTAGATTCCTCGCTTGGTCACATTTCCTCTTCTTCTGCCGGCTTGCGTTTTCTTCCCACTTTTTCCGGTGGGGCTTTTTGGGTCCTTCTCCGTCACAGCTCCTGTAGCTTAGTTGCTACGCTACTTTTAGCCGCTCAGAGCTCCGAGGAGGGCCGGGAGAGTGGGAGGGGACGAATCGGAACTACGGGAGAGGGGTGTGTTGAATACAGCGAGGTGATTGGATGGAGAGGCGGAGCAGGAGATTGACCAATAAGAGCTGTCAGGGATGGCTCCCATTGGTCAATGATTTAGCAGACCTGCGCCTGCCAGGGTGAATGGATTTATTCCATTCTTTTTTCTCTTCAAATTGTGGAGATCGCACTATAGGACCATGATCGCCATATAAACAAGGTTCATAGTAATTACCAATCTCTCTAATTGTCAACCATGCCTTTAAGTTTATGAATGGTTAATACTCAGATGAACAAAAACTGTAAATCCAGGAGGTGTTGTACTGAATGTCAAGTATTGGCTGATGGGTGTATCCAGGTATGTAAAGGTTTCTTCTCTTTGTGATGTGCTGCCATGAAGCTTCCAGACCTTGACTCCCTGAAGTTGAGGAATCAACTCCTGGCCTTGCTTTAACTGTGTGAGAGTACACTCTAAAGCGGCGTCACTGAAATGCAAGTATGGCTGCGGAAAAATTAATTTCGCAATCCCAGCTTTCACCATTCTTTTCCAACCGAGCAAAGTCAATTCACAGATCAGGTTTTCAATGGTAGACTCTCCAGAGACCTTGGGTTTGAAGTGTTTTCTGTATTTCTGTCGCTGGGGTCAAGAGTAAACTTTTAAACAAGTCAGCGAGGTTATGTTGTGCTGCTATTGTGAACATCTCTAACCTTAGGCTTTGGAAAGGAAGCGCTTCTCTTTTCCCATTAACCAAAGCAAACATCCTTCTTTAAACCTGAATAAATTGTTGTTAAAAGACAATTAATGTTTACTTTTTTTGTCTAAATGCTGAGTGACGCACAGAGCTGATTAAACACATTCTTGTCTGACAGATTTACAGATATAAAGGGGGTGAAACCAGAGGCAGAAAAACAGCGCTGTCTCAGAGAAGAGTGTTCGTGTGATGGTGACCTGCATTCATAGGTCAGAGCAGAAGCAGAGGAGGATTTTGGGACCAGATTGGATTAAGTTTGAGTTTCAGTGACAAACAGCAGCTCATGCAGCTGCGGGCAGTATCCCAGAGGGCAGACAGAGAGAAGCTCTGTTAGTACAAGTACGTGACACCAAGCTGTGACATATAAATCTATACACTGACATTATATAGTGTCAGGCTCGCATTTTCCTCGCCTTTTTATTTTCATGTGACATCTATAATCTGCGTGTTTTTTCATCAGCTGTCACCTGGGGGCTGGCTCTGAGTGGCATCCTGCAGGAGAGGACCTGAGGGTGACAGGTTAGATCTCAGAAATACTCTGAAGGCTGTGAATTTAATGTTTTATTCAGGTGTTGTGATACGACATGCTGTTCTCTTAGCATGTATGGGAGTCGTGTGAAGTGTGGGCATGGTGTTTGCTCGCCTTGAATCAGGTTTAAAGGAATCATTTAAAGGGCAACAAGCTCAAAGAAATTCTTCTCAGAAAGGTCGTCATCTGCTGTAATCATCTGCCCACTAACTAGACGAGGAGTTTCAACCATGATGCAGATTTGTGTGAGGCTACAATCAGCACTTAGCATTGATGCAGTGAGGCTATGCTAATGTTTGTATGTTCACAATCAAAAAACAAAATCTTTCCATGCAAGATGTGTGGATTTAAAGGTGGGGTAGGCATGATCCCGTTAAAGAAACAAATTTTTTGTGGTGTTTATACAAAAAAGCTTTTAATATCAGTCAATAGCTATTAGTTATTGATAACATTTGGGAACATCACAGTAGCGCTGTGTTCTCTTATGTCTGTATAGTCAACATTTAAAAATTTTTGAGTGGCCCGTTCTTTCTGAATGTAAACAAAGCCATTCCCCGCCTCCACCTCCCTGTTTGGTTGTGAGGCAGATGCTGCTTCCTCGTGCTGTTGGACACGCTCCACATCCTCCAATAACATTCAGGAGCCCAAACAAAGTTAGCGTGCTACAATATCAGACAGTAGAAACCAACCAGAAAGTACAGAAAAAACAAGCAAGACAATGAAGTGAATACCAGAGACTCTGGCGGAATAACAGGCGCTTAAAAAGGAGGTAGACCGGACAAGAGCTAAAAAGCCGGGTCAACATTTGCATAAACGATGGGGGACGCCTTAGGATCTTACGGAGCCTGTAACCTGTCTGCTGGACAGGTAAACCGCTTTAACAAAGTAAGCCAAGTGTCTGTAACAAAAGTGTTTCTTGTCAAACGGGACCTGCTGCGTGTTGTAGCGCCGCTAAACTGTTGACCTCGGGTCCTGGACTATGTCACTTTATCCTAGCTGTGGACGTCCTACAAACATTGTGTTTGCTGGTAGTCTGTTGGCATCTACAGTAGCACCAATGCTTCTTACTTTCACTTTGGTCCCGTTTGTAATCATCTGAAGTATTTATCTGCATTATATCTGAATTTAATTGGAACGATACGAGCGAGCAGGAGCGTCTGTTTGTGGGCGGGGCTTGCTGGAGCAGAGAGGGAGGGGAGAGGAGGAGCTGAGGGGAAAACTTGTTAGGAGGGATAGAGTTTACATTCAAGATTTCTCCCAAAAACTGGTACTTCCTCAGATCCTGCTGACCCCACCTTCAACTGATTGAATTTTCCATATTTTGGTCAAAACCCCTTTTTTACAGGCGCTGTTTGGAGTTTAAAATAGTCTCCTTATTTCTTTTAGTGAGTGAGAAACTTCACAACCTAGGCTTTGCAAAGTAAAAGAGCAAATTGTGTACAAACAGCATCCAAAGTTCATACCGTGAGGGAATGCTTCACTACTTTTTGATTTGGAGCCGATTAATTGGGTCGATTATGAAAGAAAACTTTCTCTAAAACTGAAGGATCATCTGATGAAATCACTCAACCCCTCAAATCATCAGAAGTCGGCAATCATGAGAAATTAACAATCAAACACAAGAAATCTTTCTCAACAAACCTCCCTGCACCCAGAGTCTGCGTTCCTTCAGAGGAAAGTTTGCAGAGAAAAGTATCTGTGTTACTTTTTCAAACAGATGTACCTGTTTTTCTCTCTTAGCCAGGAAATCAAATCACTCTCATGTTTCCTTGTTAGATTTATCATCAGCACAGAGAGCCTCTGCTGAGTTAAAAACAATACACTTCATCATAAATTGGTATGATAGCATGGTAACTACTTCCTATTCTGGGCTCAAAGCCAGCAGGAATAAATCACTTCTAGTAGGCGTGACCACGTCAGAGCAGCGAGAAGAGATGTTTCTGTAATGTCGTTTAAAAAAAGATTAGATATTTACACTGGCACCCAAGTGTTTATCTAATTATACAGTATGCTTTAACAGGCTCATATTAGACACCTGAAATAACAGTAATCCAAAGGCATGCTGAAGAGGAGTGAGGCTGGAGTGTAACTTTGAAAAGTACAAAGTTATTTATTTTAGTGTAAGAACTCAGAAACCATCCTTTAACCAAAGACTGAAACCTCTGCATAGTGGGCGCCTGTTCATGCAGTTACTTTTACACCTTTGCATGCAACCATTTGGTATTTTTACTTATGTGAATCAAATTTTATAAGAGTTGCTTCAATAATGCAAAACTTAAAAAGTTTGAGTCTTGGTAAAGTCAAAGTTTAAACTCTTGAAAGTCATCCCAAGTACTTCATTGTTCAGTGTCTTGGAAATCTCTGATCCCATCAGTAAACGTCTCCTCACAGTCAAAGCAACATCCAACTTTTCTTGGCTTCTTGAGTAGACAGCAGTGAGCAGTGCTGGGCTTCTGATCAGGACTTGGACTTTGTTAACAGTCAAACTGGCATTTGAAGGAGCAAGACTGGAGCTGGTTTAAAGAAACAACCTCAGCACGGATAGTAAGCTTTCTTTGCACAGAAGTTTATCTGTGTGCTCGACTGAAATGACTTAAATGACCTTTGATGACTGATGAGATCTACATCTATTGCTCTTCACACAATCTGCTTTTTTGTGTACAAACGCATCGACAGTTGACACACTCTCACAAACTTACGCCGTTATCTGAAGAGTTTTCATGTTAAACATCATCTTGACATCATCTTAAAAAAGTTAATCTTTAAAGTGTAATTCACGCTAAAGAAACTGAGGGACGAGTCTCCATCTGTCCAAGAGGATGAGATACTGAGGTTGATGTACGGACAAGGAGATATATATAGTAGACAGACACAGCAGATCGGTTTCCTTTGCCCTCACTCAGCTCTGCATTCTGTCTCTTCACTGGAGAGCTTTACATATCCGAGGAGTCCCTTGTGGCCTAAAAACCACAGGACTTCTTCTTCTCTGTGCACTCAGACTTCCTCTCTGAACAGCTGGCTCTCTGGCTGAGAGCCGTCGAGCTGGAGAGGGCTGAGCCGTGTTTCCTCCTGGCAGTGATAGAGCTGCTCTCCAGAACGCTCTCCCCCCAGTGCAGGATGCTTCTCGCTGTGTTTGGGAGCCCAGGAGGTGGGCATCACATCTGGTCCTGCGCTGTGCAGAGGCAGTCAGAGAGAAGTAAATTCTCTTAATGACCACAGGCTGGCCGTCAGCCCGGTCTGCTGCAGCCGGGTGTGGAGCTGGACTCCTGCTCTGGTGGAGAGAGAAATCTGAAGATGGAGAACTTTTGATGAAATCTGAAACCTTGAAAACATTGCAAACTCAGGCTGAATGGAAATGAGGAGAGCTTGAAACCGAACATGGTGCTGCATGTTTCTCTGCATTGTCAGATCTTTCTCTTTGCTGGTTCTGTTCTCCAAGGTCACAGTGTGCTCAGAAAGCAGCTGTGTCCGGATGTGCCGCCGGTCAGATTATTGATGATTGCAGAAGGTCCACAGCGGATCCATTAATAAGTAATTTCCACATCATACTTTTAAATGCTGTTTCATGTAAACTTTTGCCATGGAGCTGGATTACACTCTATTTTAAATCCTTAATATTCCTGTTTTCACATGTGCGTATCTGTTGGACTTATGCAGAGATGCCCTAAATAGAGCTCAAATTGTTCTTATAAAATTGGACTATCTGAAAATCCCCTATACAACTTTTCTTTTCAAAATAAAATGGTGCAATTCAACATGATGCAATCAGATGAAGACTCGCAGATCACAACTGGACATATTTCAGTCAGTGGTGCTGAACACAACCGGGATTTAAACATCGCTTCCTGCTGAGGGACACACCAATACCTTCCAGTTAATACACATCTTTATTACCTGACTCTAATTGGTCAAAACCTTGTAATAATAGTATTAATTCTCAACACCATGGACAATCTGGAAACACATGTCATGTGAACAAAATCTGTGTAAATGAGTCCGACATGTTCCACCTACGTTAGCCCCTGATGGCATTTTTAAGTCACTAAATATCACAGTGAAATCATCAGTTTCTGTCACAGGCTGATCATCAGAGTCTGGAAATAATGACAGTTTGTTGGCACAGATGTTTGGCTTGAGGAGTTATTAGGCTTCAACCAACCAACCAAAAAACCAACTGTTGGCAGAAGTGAGTAACGTCCTGTCCTGCAATTCATGCAACGGCAGGAGGGCTGGTTAGTGTAGCTCCATAGTTACTTGTGACTAAAACCATGAGCAGCAGTAATGATAGCATCAGTGTTAAAACATTGTGATATTTGTGTTCAAAGGTGAGTCAACTGCAAAGCTCTGAAGAAAAATATAAAGTGAGATTCAAGGAAAGTTTTAGATTAAAGTCAGTGGAACGAGCAGAAAGGTGAGAAGCTTTTTAATAGGTGCTCTTTTTAAGTCATGAGGTTCAGAATCAGACACAACCTTTCTTTAGTGTGCAAAAAACTGTTCTGGTGTGACCGAAACAAACACAGAGCTGTGTGTCTGTGAGGTTTTGCTCTGACAGCTCTGATATTTCCCTCCTAATCTGACAGACTCTGACAGGAGACGCGTAGAAGCTGTTGAAGACGACCTTTAGCTTTAACTTTCGGACTTTTCTTCCTTCTCGGGTCGACCTTGAGAAGTCCTCCCTCTGCTGCCTTTTTGCAGCACACTGAGCAGTAAAAGGACAGACGGGGTGCATGCTAAGTGGAGGTGGTGGCTCCTGTCATGGCCGACCTGGGTGCTATCAGCAAGGGATCAGTCGGCTGTGTCTGGATGACAGGGCTCTGCCGGCGTTTCTGTCACTGCTGAGCGTCCCCAGGCGTCCCGCAGACTCTGTGTCATGGCAGCTGGCTCAGCATGACAAGGGGAAGGCTGGAGGAAGAGAGGAGTCAGCATCTTAAACCACATCCTGTGGAGCTGCTGCCGCCAAGATAATCACCCAGATATGTATTTAATGGCTCTCTTATTTATGCTGAAAGGACTGCTCTTTTCATCATCCGCTGCTGTAAGAGGGCCTCAGAGATGGCGATGTCCTTTGATTAGTTAGTCCGTCTCAGACTGGGCAGACTTTGTGCAAACAGTCCAGCTCCTTGTAAAGATATTTACATTTACATACGGACGTGCATGCTTTGGAACCAAGTGGGTACACTCTGCATACATTTATAAAGCGGAGGAAATGTCCCAACAGCTGTTTTGTTTTGATATTCATGATTCATAAAGGATGAACTGTACTGACATTTATGAGCGATGAAATGGCCATTAGTTTCCAGGATATGAAAATGTGTAGTTCTGAGGAAAATGTCTTAATAGTGAATGAAATGTCATGGCACACACATTCATGCCTCCTCTAAAGATTAATTAAAATTATTTCAAGAGTACTCAGCCAAGTCAACAGCCAGCCATATTCTGATTTAAAAGAAATCCAGTACTCTTCACTATGACTGAGTGTACCTAAAGGTTCGAAGGCCAGAAATTGAAAAATGTTTAAAAAAAATATCAGCTGCTCATCCATGAAAATGTGATGAATTTTAACATCAGTGAAAAACAAAACCAAGAAGGAAGACTTAAGAATTTTTTTGTCTATGAATGATTGACATCAGCCCATGTATCATTCACCGAGTGTGTCTTATGCTTGTTTACACCTCAACAGTGTCATATAACAGACAGATTACATGTTAAATTTGCTCTCATAATGATTTAACTTTGTATTTACATATAAACCGGCACAAAGACAAGGAGATAACAAGTGTTTACTTGCAAATAGAGGAGCGTTTTTATGCTAAGCGTGACCTCGCCACAGTGAGCGAACGTTGGCTTTCCCAGGAGCTTTGAATACATGCTGATTCATTGGCAGGAGGTTGTCTTAAAAAGGTTAGCTGCTGGTTTAATGGATAAAGTCTGCACAGAAAGTTACTCAATATTGCTAGAATGCATTATGTGGTGAGTTTAACGTTTTATTTATTTTTAAAAACTTGGAAGCAAAGTGAAGTCTAGTCAGCATATCGTATTTAAATAGATGTGGTGAACAGAGATAGCTGCAAAAGGTATTTCTCACCCATGCTTGTTCTTTTTGGTTGGAAACATGTTGCATCATGTAGTTTGCCTTCTTTTGCCACCTGTCGGCTTCATTTTGCATTGCACCTTATCCAGTGTATTTTTACCTCCACCAAGGAGGTTATGTTTTCGGTAGTGTTGGTTTGTTTGTTTGTTTGTCTGTTAGCAACTTTATGGAGAAAGTAACGGACTGATTGACCTGAAATTTTCACCAGAGGTGCGTCTCAGCCCCAGGAGGATCCCATTACATTTTGGTGGTGATCCGGACAAAATTCCTGATACTGTGATCCAGAACACACAAAAATAAGGGTGTCGTTGGAATTTTCAATGCTGAAAGATAACCAATGGGCGGCACAGTGGTGTAGTGGTTAGCACTACACAACCAGAAGGTCCTGGGTTTGAATCCAGGTCAGGGCATTCCTTGTTTAAGGGGGGACATGAGCTGATTGGTGGAGGTCTGTGCTCTCTGAGTGCTTTTCTAGTTAAAACTGCCATACCTGCAGTTGCTACCATATCAATTCTGCAACACAAGCACCTGTGCATGATTTGGTAAGGAGGGCATGACCATGTATAACTATATTCATTCATTTTTTTAGCAGAGTGGTAATAAAGTTAAATCTATTGCTGCTGCGCATTAAAAAAAAAAAAAGTTTTAAGTGTACTTGCATGATGTTGCAAGCACTTCAGCCTAGATCTAAAGCAACAAAGCCTGGTAAAGCTTTGTGTATGGCTGTGGTTCCGCTCTGTTTATTAGGTTGCAAACAACCTCTAGCTACAGATTCGACATCAAAATGCATGGTCTGGAGAAGCAGGACCAGATTTTTGAACAGGTTCCCTTTTGTAGTCTGAATAGTATTATCCACGAGCAAGCATAAGCAGTATGCAGGGAAACAGTGTGTGGAAAGCAAAAGGAGTTGGATTTATTATGCCACAAAGCAATCCAGAAACCCATCAGCTGTCATCCAGTGACGATTTAGCTTTAATTAATGGCTATAAATGGAAATCTGCATGCAAGTGCTGCTCGCTGTCTGCTCATGTATGCCATTCTGACTCCCAAATTGCCAGTAGGACTGTGAACAAAGTCAAATGCACGGAGAAAGGAGTCTTCGCCAGAAGTCTTTTGTGGCCAGTTTCTTTCAACAAGAGAAGACCAAAAAGTTGGCCGCCGCTCCCGGAAGCTTTGTTGTCGGCAGAAAGAGCCGTCCAAGTGTGGGATGAAGATGATGTGCAGGCTTCATCTTGGTTGTGGCAGATATTTTCCCCTCCTTTCAGATCTTTTGTACACAGCTGTTTATGTGCAAAGAAGAAAAAAAACGAAAGAAATTTGACGTAATAATCTACAAGAGAAGTAATCACAGCACAGAGGATCAGAATTTTAATTTGCTACAGTTTATGCAAAGTGCATGTTTTTTGTTAGAGTAATTAAATTCTGTCTTTATTTACATTTAGCCCACTGCATCTCACTGACAGGTCCATTTAGTGGCTCGAGACGGCTTCTTTCTGTGAGAGAAAATCCATTTTCTAACTGCTTCTGTGCTGCCCCCGCCACACAGAAGAGCACTGATTACTCTGCAGAGAGAGAGAGGAGAGAGAGAAAGAGAGAGAGAGGGAGCGAGCAGGCAGGGGAATGCAGGATGAGGACCTACAACCAGCACAGGGTGCAGCTCTAGCCATGGCCTCCATCAGTCATCAGGTGCTGTGGAATGGATGCAGCACACAGGTTGTACTGCTGGCAACATGATGAAGGAGTCGGCGGCGTGATTGCGCCGCTCGCCTTATGAATGGAATAATAGAGAGAGGCAGAGTGTGGTGCTAAATCGTCCTGATGGAGGCGAGGCTGGAGTGTGCGGTGGGGAGGAGTCCTGGGCCCTCCCATGTGACCGGGAGAAGATAAAGGACTGACAATAGATAATTAAGGAACTGCCAGGACCTCTTTCCTCCTCACACGGCTGTTTTATTAAAGGGGGCTCAGCAAGAAAGAATATTAATAAAAACTACCAGGCTGGGTGACTCAGGGATGAATATAAATTGGGGCCGGTGGGGGAAGGAATGCTTAAGGGAGCGTTTATCAGGAGTGTGGAGGGTGGGCTTGTGATCATGGCTGCACTGAAGCTGTGGCTCTGGGTATCTCTGGTGAATAACCAAATGCATGTCAGCAGCAACAAAAGCACTTTTAGAGCCTTTTATGTACACATCTAAACTGTTGTGCAGCTAATGAACAAGCTGCAGTGCTTCACACACAATATCTCCTTTATTTATTTACATTTAAGAGCAAGCTATTATCCTGTTATTCATTACATTTTTCATACAGATGCAGCAACTCTATAGACTGTAACCCTTAACAGTATTAGTACATGGATTGTCTTATCTCCATCCTGACACCAGTGAAATTTTGTCTAATGTTACCATGGCAGCCAGTCAATCAAGGGAACTAGGTCACACTCGATTGAATAGTTTGAAACATATAAAAGTATCCTAAAACTCAAGGTTACTATTTTACAGCTAGTGAGTGAAATGAATAAACTGCACTTAAAATGAACTTGATAAAGAAGTTTGAGGCTGGAGTTGAGGAGTGAGCTGTCAACAAAATGCAGAAAATTAACTGTGATCTAGCTGAAGCCAAAGCTGTTGGAGAGGAGATCTTTGCAGGAGAAGCTGAGAGTTTAAAGAGCTTGGATCTTATTCGACAGATGTAGATATTGATCAGCATTTCAAAGTTAGATGGAGGTTGTTTTTAAGAAGCTGGTTTACTAAGGAGGCTTGTTAGAGGCATGAAGTGACACCAAGGTTTTATTTTTTAGGATAACCAAGTAACAGATCACTTTTACTCACTTCAGAGGCTTGTGGGGCTTTGTTTTCATGATATTTCTCAGTACTGAAGTAAAACTTTGAGTGGAAGTGTCCTGGTACTGTTATTTCACTGAGACAGAGAAGTTTCGGTAATGTAGGTCTTTCACTTTGCACACTATGTTAACTTTGTTCTGGGGTTGCTGTGGCTCAGTGGTAGAGTGGGTCGTCTAACAATCCGTAGGTAAGAGTGGCATAACCCAATTCTGCTGTAACACACTGAAGTGTCCTTGGCAAAGACACTAAACCCTAAATTGCCCCTCTGACTCAGTCAGCAGTGTGGAAGTGCATGGGATTAACGGAATGGGATTAGTTGATAGTGATGGTCCCCTATAATAGAAGCCTCTGCTGTTAGTGTATGACTGTGGTGTGAATGGGTGAATGTGATGAGCAGTGTAAAAGCCCTGTGGTAGTTAGAGTGACTTGGAAAGTGCTGTGTAAGTACAAGTCCATTTTCCATTTGCAATCCCATCGTAATTGAAATAATGACGTCTTTACCCATCTCTGAATTCATGAGCAGTGTTCCCTCGGACTGATGATGTACCTGAGCAGAAGGGGTGTTATGTCCTTTTTCCTCACCATCTGATCCCAGCTTTTCTGGAGTTTTCTGAAAGTAAAAGTCACTTCTAGGTGGTGACTGCCTCACCTGTAGAGGTCTTAAGTGTACCGGACTATAGGCCACAGTAAGGTCACATCTGTTGCTCTAGATCTGAAACCTTCAAAATAAAACATCTGAATTTTTTATAGAGAAAAAACTCCTCTATAACTTTTTTTATATGCCGTAGGATTTTCAGTCGAAAGATTTTTTTTTGTGGCTTTAATCCATGTACAGACGCTTCCCTTTGGCCTACTTCAGCAGCATGAACTCAAAAGAGAGATCAGTTTTCTTTTGATTTACTTTGAAGTTATGAGTCCAAAGTTTATGGAAGTAAAATCGTGATGCAGATTTGCAAAAAAAGTAAAAATGCAAGCTTTGTCGGGTCTACCCACATGAGGAAAACATCAAAAATGTTTATGCTTTTGAAATGGAGGTTAGATCGGCCAATTGTGATGCATCCCAGTAAGTGGAGCATCATAATATTATAAACAGTGAGCAGATTTGTCACCCAAGTAGAAGAAATGTTTCATCTTGAATGGATTGTTTGCTTCACTTGCATGCAAATATCTGTTTATAGAGATTTGCAAATTATCATTAGATTACCATAGATAAACACAGTCCATTTACCATGGATGGGCTGGGAGATAGTTTTTGAAGCTGACTGTGCTCTGCACTGTTAATTGCAAAAACTCCCAGAGAAGCTTGTGAAATCCAAACAATTTTTCAGCTAAAAAACACTTTTTCAATTTTAATATTTGTCAGAAGAGTATTTTTATTGGTGGCAGACATTTTTCTCTCAGCCTTCAGGCAGTCAGAAGTTGAATCATTTTCATCCCAGTCACATTTTCCAGGAAGT